CTATAGACAAACTACAGTCAACTCTAGACAAAACTACAGACAAACTATAGACAAAACTACTGACAAACCACAGACAAACTATAGACAAAACTACTGACAAACTACAGACAAACTAAAAATTAACTACTGACAAACTACAGACAAACTACAGACAAACTATAGACAAAACCACTAACCAACTACAGACAAACTAAAAATCGACTACTGACAAACTACAGACAAACTATAGACAAAACTACTGACAAACTAAAGACAAACTAAAAATTAACTACTGACAAACTAAGGTGTTCGACCGCGTCCCTCGGGGAACCCTGTGGGAGGTACTCTGGGAGTATGGGGTACCAGGCCTTTTGATAAGGGCTGTTAGGTTCCTGTACGACCGGTGTCAGAGCCTGGTCCACATCGCCGGCAGTAAGTCGGGCTTGTTCCCGGGGAGAGTTGCACTCCGCCAAGGTTGCCCTTGTCACTGATTCTGTTCATAACGTTTATGGACAGAATTTCTAGGCGCAGCCAAGGTGTTGAGGGGATCCGTTTTGGTGGCCTTAGGATTGCTTCTCTGCTTTTTGCAGATTATGTGGTCCTATTGGCTTCATCAGATCGTGATCTGCAGCTTTCGCTGGAGCGGTTCGCAGCCGAGTGTGATGCAGCTGGGATAAAGATCAGTTCCTCTAAATCCGAGGCCATGGTCTTGAGACAGAAAAGGGTAGATTGCCCTCTTTGGGTCAGGGAGGAGGTCCTGCCCCAAGTGGAGGAGTTCAAGTATCTTGGGGTCTTGTTCACGAATGAGGGAAAAATGGAGCATGAGATCGATAGGCGGATAGGTGCAGTGTCTGCAGTGAAGCGGGCGCTGTACAAGTCTGTCGTGGTGAAGAGAGAACTGAGTCAAAAGGCGAAGCTCTCAATTTACCGATCTATCTACGTTCCCACCCTCCCAGGTCATGAGCTTTGGGTTGTGACCGAAAGAATGAGATCTCAGATACAAGCGGCCAAAATGAATTTTCTCCGCAGAGTGTCTGGGCTCTCCCTTAGAGACAGGGTGAGAAGCTTGATCATCCGGGAGAGACTCAGAGTAGAGCCACTGCTTCTCCACATCGAGAGGAGCCAGTTGAGGTGTCTCGGGCATCTGGTTAGGATGCCTCCTGGACGCCTCCCCGGTGAGGTGTTCCAGACACGTCCCACCGGGAGGAGACCCAGAGGAAGACCCAGGACACGCTGGAGGGATTATGTTTCTCGGCTGGCCTGGGAACGCCTCGGGATTTCCCTGGAGGAGCTGGACCAAGTGGCTGGGGAGAAGGGAGTCTGGGCCTCCCTACTTAAGCTGCTACCCCCACGTCCCGACTCCGGATAAGCGGAAGAAAATGGATGGATGGAGGTTGCAGACCCCTGCTCTAGAGCCTGTCTTGTGTGGGATTTCTCCTTCTGCCTGGCTCCTGAGCTAGTGGGGACGCTGTCTGCTCTGTGGTACAGAGTCCTGATGACTCCTAACTTGTGCTCCAAAGGGTGATGGGAGTCAAACTGCAAATACTGGTCTGTGTGGGTGGGTTTGCGGTACACCTCAGTTTGCAAATGTCCTCTTTCAGAGACTGAGACCTCACAGTCCAAGAAAGCCAACCTGCCATTTTTTACATCTTCTCGTGTGAACTTGATGTATTTATCCACAGAGTTGATGTGGTCAGTAAAATGTTGGACTTCCTGAGATTTAATTTTAACCCAGGTGTCGTCAACATACCTGAACCAATGACTTGGTGGTGTCCCTGAAAAGGACGTCAAGGCTCTCTTTTCTACCTCCTCCATCAACAACAACACACCGGTAGACAGTCACATCTAGGGAAACAGAAAAGTGGGTGAAGAATTTGTCTGACAGACAGCTTACCCAGCTGGAGACAGAGATCCTTGCCAGGGGACTGAACTTTGTGGTTGCACCAAGAAGAATTCCTCTGGTGTAGATGATCACAGCCACAGAATCAGCCATCTGCAACAACAAAATTACAGGACCTTCCTGAAAGCAGAGAAGAAACCCAAACAGGACTCCAGTCAGCCAACAGGTGAAAAGGAGGAACCCAGACCCAGACCAGTGGTCATTCCATATGTTGAGGGAGTATCAGAGAAACTGAGACGTTTATTTTCTAAACATAACGTCCCAGTGGCTTTTAAACCCCAAAAAACATTAAAGACTGGTTCATCCCAAAGATCCAGTCCCCTGGCACAAACAGAGTAATATTGTGTATGTTGTTCAGTGTCAGGAGGGTGATCGGTCTTACATCAGGGAAACTAAACAGCCACTGGCCAAAAGGATGGACCAGCACAGAAGATCAACATCATCAGGCCAGGACTCTGCGGTCTACACTCATCTCCAGGCCAGAGGTCACTCTTTCAAGGATGAAGATGTTCACATCCTGGACAGAGAGGAACGATGGTTTGAGAGAGGAGTAAAGGAGGCCATCTTTGTGAAAAGAAACCGTCCATCATTAAACAGGGGCGGAGCCTCCAGGTTCAACTGTCCCCCTCTTACAATGCTGTGATTGCTAGTATCACTCAGCCCTCTGTGAACAGTAAACAGCCATCAGGTGCTAATGATCCATTGTTAGGCTGATGGTCCTTCTTGAGCATGTGATCAGCTGGTTTTGGTTGTCAGCAGCAAACTGGTTGATCCACTCTGAGAAGGTGCTATTTAAGAGACTGAGCTGAAAACAGCACCTCAGACTGAGGAAGTCCTCAGGATGAGAGACGAAACGTTTCTACACTTTTTTTGCTTTGTTTTGTTTTTTGTTTTTTTGAATGTCCAGAGGACCAGATTGAACTTTTTTAGATATAACATACTATGTACTAAATAATAACAGGGGTGGAGCCTCAGTGTCCAACTGTCCCCTCTTACAGGGCTGTTATTGCTAGTATCACTCAGCCCTCTGTGAATAACAAGCGACCATCAGGGTGCTAACTGACAAGGTTTGTGTTTTTGATTTGAGTAAGACACCAAACAACAAGAATGGTTTAAAAGGTTTATTATGAAGCAGCTGCTGGTGGAGATCAGAGTCCTGTGTGAGCCTAATCTGCAGAAATATGAATAGTTAGTGGAATGGCAGTTTTTGTGATGATGAAGGTAAACAGAAAGACAACCAACAACCTTCTCATGCAGGTAAAATGAGCAGCACTTGAAAGAGCAGGGCAGGACGATGTTCACAGATAGGACTGCAGCTGAGGCTTAGGGTTGAGAGAGACGTGATCCAGAAGAAGATCCAGAGGCGAGAGCCAGGCGTGGAGTTGGAGGCCATAAACAGAGTATCAGAGGTCCAAAAATAAATCCAAGAGTGAGATCTGTGAGGCATACTCGTAGATTCAGAAGAGGAAGTTGGTACTGTGATCAGAAGGACGATATGGTAACAGACAAGGAGCATGCAGGTCGGGAATCCAAAAGGCAGTTGTGAGGTCAAGAAAAGATGATCAGAAAGAGCTGTGATGAGAATGCTGGAAATCTACTTCCGCAAAGGGTTCAATAATCTGGCAAGAAGCATGGTGGCAAGAGCTCTTAAGTAGAGAGAGGCACAGGTGCATGGCATGAGCGTGAATAGGCTGAGTTGCAGAGTGGGTGTGGCTGGAAGACAAAACTTGAGAGCAGAGCATGACAAGGCAGAAAAGATGACACTAACAGCCAATCGTTAGGCTGATGGTCCTCCTTTATCATGTAAATAGCTGATTCTGGATGTCAACAACAAACTATTTGATCCACTATGAGAAGGTGCTATTTATAAGACTGAGTTTAGTACAGCTCCTCAGACTGAAGAAGTTCTTTTGGATAAAAGAGGAAACGTTTCAACAAGTTTTTAATTTTTCATTTACATGTAAAGCGAATGACAATAAAGATTATCTTACACTGACTCTGATTTTATTTTTATGTTTTATTTTTTTGAATCCGTCAAGTGGACCTGACTTAACTTTGTTACACGACAGAACTTCATTAATCTGATTGGTTCCAGATCAGTTTGGGTTTCGTCCAATCAGCTGATCTGTGGTTTTTCTTTTTTCTTTTATTTTTTATTCCAAACTGGTTAACCTCTTGGAGAACCAAACCAGCAGGATTTGGACCTTTGGGGTTCTAATGGAAGGTTTGTTAATGTAAACCACAGATCAGCTGGGTTTTAGAACTCAAAAAAAAATAAAAAAATAAAAGGTTTTCATCAAACATCTGGTTTATTATTCCAACACTGACAGGATCAGAAACTGGTTCTTCGTTTCTGTTTCAACTATCTGGAACCGTTTGGACCATCATGAACCGATTGGACCATCAGAAACCGGTTGGACCTCTTTCCTGTGTTTTCATTAACTTCCTGTTTCCTCTTTAGGCTTTCGGCTGTTTCCTGGTTTGGACCATCAGAACCTCAGACCCCGGTCCTCCTGCCGTCAACAGAAAATTCGTCCCCATCAGTGTGTTAGGCGTGACGGCGTTCAGCGTGTCGGGCGTGTTTGGGTCGGTGCTGACGTCCCATGATCCTCCTCTTCAATTCTGTCTGAGCAGCATCCTCATTCTCAGCTGTGCCCTCTTCATCCTGAGCAGCCTGTTCGGACCTCAGGTCAGTTCCTAGAACTTGGTTTTGGTTTATATTTCTGAGTGGCCCGTTTGGACCATGGGTTGGTTCCTCCAATACACACGCAATTTAAGCCTGGTTTTAAACAATTACACAGCACTGACACGGCCTTGGTAAGGGTTTGTAATGACATTCTTTTAACAAATGACTCTGGTCAGTTTGTGATCCTTGTAATCCTGGATCTAACCGCTGCTTTTGACACTGGTTACCAAAGTATCCTTTTACAATGGTTAGAACACTGGGTTGGGATCACTGGTGCAGCATTAGAATGGTTTTGTTCTTATTTGAGCAACAAGAGTTTTTGTGTTAATGTTGGTAATAGTTTATAGGCTTCAGTGCCTCTTTCCTATGGGGTTCCGCAAGGCTCTGTTCTTGGATCCCTTCTATTTTCATTGTATCTGCTCCCCTTGGGGTCTATCCTGAGGAAATTTTTTTTTTTTTTTCATTTCATTGCTATGCTGATGTTTGTCCTTGGAAAATTAAAATTCAAAGATTTTTTTGGGCAGGAGATTTCAACATTGACTGGGCTAAGTCGACCCCACCGTGATAAATTCAAAGAATGTTGCCTGGTGTACAGGTGTATTTACTGACATTTTAAGTGATCATTGTGTAATAGCGGCTCTCAGAGATATTAAACTTCCACCTTCTAAGCCCAGATTAATTTAAAAAAATGGATATGAAACGTTTTTGTGAACAGTCATTCCTCTGGGATCTATCCCACTTTGACTGGCATCGTATTCTGTTAACTAACGACGTGAACTCCGCTTGGAACTATTTCCATAATAGTTTCATTTATTTCCTGAACATACAAGCTCCTTTTCGTCAGTTCAGAATAAAGGGACGAGACAGCCCCTGGTTTACTCCAGAGCCAGCTGACCTCCTGAACAGGAGAGATCATCTTTGGGCCGCAGCGAGAAAATCTGACTCAGACACTGATTGGTTGAGTTTTCGACAGATGAGGAATAAATGCACAACTGCTGTCAAAGCAGCAAAACACAACTATTTCTTATCTCAGACCTCCAAAAATCTAAATGACCCTAACAGATTCTGGAAAATAATCAAATCTATCTCAGGCAGCCCTCAATCATCTGACCTCCCATCACAACTTCTCGTTAACTCTGTTCCTGTGTCAAATCAGCACAAGATCCTGAACTGTTTCAACAAACATTTTGTTGCTTCTAATTCTTTATTTGACAAAGTTACTAATGGAAGATCAGCCACTTCACTTAATAACCAAACTTCTACAAATCAAATCCCTCTTACAAGTCAATCCTCAGTTAATCACAGCTTCTCTTTTTCTCCATTCTCAGTCAGTGAGGTCAATAAACTGTTAAAAGATCTTGACCCTAAAAAATCTGCAGGTCCAGATGAACTTCCACCTTATTTCTTAAGGCTGGCTGCTCATATCATCACAGTCCCTGTGACCCACATCTTCAATCTCTCCATAAGACAAAACTCCATCCAGACACTTGGAAAACAGCCTTTGTTCTTCTTTGCTGAAGGGAGGTGACCCCCCCTCACTGAACAACTATGGACCAATCTCTAAACTCTGCATTTTAGCCAAGGTTCTAGAAAAACTGATAAACTCTCAAATCAAAAATGACCTGGACTCATTTAACATCTTACCTCCACATCAATCTGGTTTCAGGAAACAACACAGCACAACCACTGCTTCACTGAAGGTTCTTAATGATGTTGTTGAAGCACTGGATGCTAAGGATTATTGTGCTGCACTTTTCTTAGACCTGTCTAAAGCTTTTGACACTGTGGATCAGAACATCTTGTGTAATAAACTCTCAGAAATTGGTTTCTCAGATCACACCATTGGTTGGTTCTCTAACTATCTTTCAGATCTGAGGCAATGTGTTCAATATAATGGTACTCCCTCCAGTTATTTAACAGTCAACAATGGTGTACCACAAGGCTCAGTCTTAGGACCCATCCTCTTTACAATATACATAGGTAATGCAGGTCAAAACATCCCTGATGCATCCATACATTTCTATGCTGATGACACAGTTGTTTACTGTCGAGTTAGAACAGTTGCTAAGGCTTTCCAGCTTTTGCAATCTGCATTCAACATCATCCAAACTGATTTGTTCCGCCTCAAACTTGTCCTAAATGCCGACAAAACCAAAGGGATGCTTTTTTCAACCAGGAAGTCGGTCCCAGCAGTTCTTCGACTAATTTCATCCTCAAATGGTGTCCCGATAGAGTTTGTTGATTTCTATAAATATTTGTGTATCTTGGTCGACTCACATCTCTCTTTTAAGCTCCATGTGGAAAACCTAGTAAAGAAACTGAAAGTTAAACTGGGTTTCTTTTTCAGAAACAGATCCTGTCTAACCCTTGATGCTAGAAAACGCCTTGTATCTGTGACTTTCTTTCTCTCCATTGATTACGGTGACATTATTTACATGACCGCTCCTACAAGAACCCTGCAGATGTTGGATGCTGCAGATGTTGGATGCTGTCTATCATGGTGCACTAAGATTCATAACTGGCTGTGATTATCGTACCCACCACTGCACCCAGTATTCACTGGTTAACTGGTCACCATTAACTTCACACAGATTCTCACTGGTACATTTTCATCTTTAAATCACTTCTTGGTCTGCTGCCTTCATACATCTCCTCCTACATGTCTCTGTGTGAGTGCAGCTACAGCGTGGCTTTGTGAAGATTAATCCTGAACTGAGGCATTCGTCTTCTGGTAGTGAGGTGAGTCTGGCGCTGGGTGGTCTATTTGTGTCTTCAAAATGAGCATAGAACCTGTTAAGAGCATCAGGCGGTGATGGGTCCCTACTAGGGCATTGTGCACCCTTGCTTTTATCGTCTGTTATGCACTTAATACCCCTCCACATGCCCCGTGGGTCCTGTGAGGAGAAATGTCCCTGGTTCTTCCATGCGTATGTTGCTTTGGGCCTAATACCAGCAGCCAGATCTTTTCTTGTCCTCCCCAGTGCCTGTGATTTGCCAGACCTGAAGGTAGTATCCCTGTCTTTCAGCAGGGTACGGACCTCTGCATTCAGCCAGGGTTTTTGGTTCGGGTAGCTCTTCACAGTCCTGGTGGTGGTGACATCTTCAACACACTTGCTGATGTAGCTGAGGACAGTAGATATGTATTCCTCCAGATCCAGCTCTCCCTCATTTACAGCAGCCTCCCTGAAGATCTGCCAGTCTGCACATGTAAAACAGTCCTGCAGTACTGAGTCGCTGTCACTGGCCCACACCGTGACTTTTTTTATGTTGGTCTGGAACATTTCAGCAGGGGGAGGTAGACAGGGGCCATAAATATGGATATGTGGTCAGAGAGGCTGAGGTGGGGGCAGGGTACAGCTTTATATGTGTCTCTTATGTTGGTGTAAACACAGTCTGTTACTCCCCGTGTTGGTATGGTCACATTGTTGATAAAATCTTGGCTAAGTGTCTTTCAGGTTTACATGATTAAAATCACCTGCCACCATGTAAAACACCTCTGGATCCTTTTTTTCAAGTGAGCTGATGTTATCATGTAGCTCCTGTCTTTAGCATTAGCATCTGGAGCTATATAAACAACAATGATATACACCACTAAAAACCCACACGGTAAACATTTCACAGTCAGTTGTTCTAAAGCCTCAGAGCTGGAATTGTTTATCAGAACACAGTCTGTGGACCAACCTTTCTTTACGTAGACGCATACACCACCACCCCATGTCTTCCCCGTTAGTTTGCGTCTGCGATCTGCCTGAAAAAAGCTTGTTATCCAGATGGAAGGCTGAGTCCGGCATGTTGTTATTAAGCCATGTTTCTGTTAGACAGAGTACAGCACAGTTCCTCATCTCCTCTAAGACATTCACTCTCAGTCGCAGCAGATCCAGCTTGTTTTCAAAAGAGTGAACGTTGATGGGATCAGGAATTTATTAGCATTAGCCTTCAGTCTTGCTAACACTCCGGTTCGTCTCCCCCTCTTTTCCCGCGGGCACAGCATCTTCTCGTCTCCTTAGAGCACTGCTGCCTTCACGCTGATGTCCATAGAAGCTGCCGAGCGTAGTTTTGAGATCGTTGTTGATCGCTGCTGTATCTGGAATCAACCCTTCTCTTTTGCTCACAAGTTCAGTTCAGCTATAATTCACACGCTTAAGGCAAGTGGAGTCGGGCTCAGAGCGGATTTCAAAACCAAGAAAAAATGGGTTTTCACCAGGAACCTGAGAAACTGCGACCTGGAAGAGCGCGGCCATCTTGGCCTCTTGTGTTCAGACTTCAGGTTGGACAGAAACTTCTTTGTTAAAACGATTAGATGTTTTCGAACTTCTCTGGCGCATCAGAACGGCTCATGTTCAGATAGGTTCTTTTCTTCACAGATTTTTCATGTTTTGAGGAGCAGCAGCGAGCTGCAGGATGAAGCTGCAGGTGAGGAAGAGGAGGAAGAGCTGTGGAGGTCCAACCAGGAGCTGAAGCGTCTGGGAGCTCAGGTAAGAATGGAGATCAGATCCTTTGAGCGAAGCAGCCACTGTAGAAACACACCATGTTTGTTTCTCCATAAATCTGCTGGTTTTATATTCAGAGATGAACAAAGTTTTTATTCTGACAGAGTTCAGCAACCTTCGGCTCATTCTTCAGACGGCTGCTGGGACTTCTGGTTTTTGTAACTTTTAGGCTTTTCAAAACATTTAACTTTATTTATAATGTGTTTGTGATAAAAACACGTTTCTTTACTTGCATCAGAAACTTTGTTCTCTGAAATCTGTTTTTGTCTTTTTATGCTACTTTTAGCTTTGAGGCTTTGGGCTAGCCTTTTGCTTTTTTAAATTAACATTCTGCAGCTTTTAGCTTTTACCTAGCATTATGAGTTGTTTTTCCACTTCTAGCTAGTGTTCTGCTTCTTTCAGCTCTAAGCTACTTCTTGTTTGCCCTTAGCTTTTAGCTAGCTTTTTTTTAGCTTCTAGCTAGTGTTCTGCTTTTTTTTTAGCTCATTGCCTCAGTTTCAGTTCCTTCAGTAAATTCAGGCTGTATTTTGGCAGAAAGTTTTTTTTTTCCTTCAGTTTTTGTGTTTAACTGCAGCTGGACGTTCAGGTAGAATCCTTCACCATGCAGCTGGCTATGTTCCAGGAGGAACCTGGAGAAGAACATGGTAACTTCACACCACCACGCTGTAAATAATCAGGATTTCCCCTCTCCTGAATGTTTTTGCTTTTTTTTCAGCAGAAGCTGGAGTCAGATCTCTGACTCATGAAGCTCAGATCTGTTCTCCAAACAAAGACTCAGAGAGAAAAAGGCCAGATGATGCGAACTCTCCTGAACAGTTAGTGAAACTGAAACAGATTGTCCAGTACTCAGCTTCCATTTTGTTTTCAGATCTTAGTGCTCCCTTTAGGACTGCAAAGTCTTTTATCCCAGTAGTTGGTTCTGGTGTTCCTCAGGGACGTTGGTTCGGAACACTTGTTTTCTGTTGTACATGTTGACCACATGGTCAAAACTTCAACCATATGATTCGTCTCACCTTTAGTTTGCTCCACAGTCATGATCTCCTGTCTAAAGGAAGCCTGATGATGTCACTGTGTTTGGTTTCTCTCAGTGTTTGGCGCCGTCTGTCTGTCCAGCTGCCTATCCTTCATCATTCCTACCTGCCCATCATCGGTGGCATCAGCACCAGCACTGCCAGTTTGTTCAGCAGCCAGGAAGTGTTTCTTCACCATCACGACAACTTCCTGTATGCCTAACAGAACGAAGCTCCGCCCGCATTACTGTCAGAACTGTGGCAGAGAAAGAAAGATTTATTAATCTGTTTCTACGAGAGAGAAAAATATGTATGTGCTGCTGCCTTCCATCAGAAAAAAATGAAAATAAGTTTTTACACTAATCGTTTTTAAAGAAGTCTGTGAGTTTTTACAGTTTTTACAAAATAAAATGACCAAAAACCCAACCAGTGTGAGAACGTTTGTCTTAGTGAAAAGAAAGTTTTACTGTCGGTCTGAACAGTTTCTACTCTTTCAAAAAACACAAAATGAATTAAAAACATGAAATTATAAAATGTTAAATGGACTGTACTTCTACAGCTCCTTTCTATCTAATCCAGATACTCAAAGCTCTTTACAACACACTCTGTGCCCTCATTTACCTCCATACACACATTCATACATCACTCTACTGCACCTCTACAAAGATAATCTGAATCTGTAGAGAATATTCAGAGCTTTATCACATTCATACACTGATGGGACACACATCAGAGACAATGAGGGGTTCAGTGTCTTGCCCAGGGACACTTCAGCATGTGAAATGTTTTGAGCAAATTATCAAAACTCACATCTGTGGCTCCCTCCCTGCACCTGGACCCCCTACAGAGCAAACAGGTCTACAGATAACGCTGTTGCATTAAGGTCAAGGGTCAAGTTTTTTATTGTCATTCGCATCACATGTGGTACATGAGGTGGAACGAAACTGTGTACCCAAGGTCTCAGTTACACCCCAAAATAGCAAAACTATAAAGTGTAAAAAGAAACAATAAAAAAGGATCTAAGATATAAACTAAGATATACACTAAAAGATCTAAGATATATGTTAAACACTAATAGTGCAAAACAATACACCGAGCAACATGAACGAGTCTTTGTGGGTGGATGAGTACGAATGAATGAATACAGCAGCATGAAATAATCAGTAGGATGAGATCAGCAGCATGGATAATCAGCAGCACATATCAACATTCAAAGTTGCATCACAGTGATTCTCCTGGTTAGAGATTCATGAGTCTAACAGCCTCAGGGTAGAAGCTGTTCCTCAGTCTAGTGGTTCTACACTTAATGCTCCTCAACCTCCTTCCTGAGGGGAGTGGGGAAAAAGTGTGTGTGCTGGGTGGGTGGGGTCCTTCATGATGCAGGTGGCCCTCTTCCTGCATCTGGAGGTGTAGATGTCTGTGATGGTGGGGAGACTGACTCCAACATCTTCTGTGCAGCCTTCACCACTCTCTGCAAAGCTTTTCTTTCTGCAGCTGTGCAGCCTCCATGCCACACGTTGATGCTGGAGCACAGGATGCTCTCCACTGCACACCTGGAGAAGGAGGTGAGGACTGAGCTTCCAGACCAGCTCGTCTCAGCCGTCTGAGGAAGTAGAGTCTCTGATGATCTTTCTTCATCAGGCTGGTGGTGTTGTTGCTCCAGCTGAGGTTGTTGTTCAGGTGCACACCCAAGTACTTGTAGCTGGAGACCACTTCCACCGCAGATCCTGTGTTTGTTCCTTCTGAAGTCCATGACCATCTCCTTTGTCTTCTTCACATTGATGTGAAGGTTATTCTCTTTGCACCAGCTCTCCAGGTGTTCCACCTCTTGCCTGTAGCTGGACTCATCATTGTTTGTGATGCATCCCACCACCGCTGTATCATCTGCAAACTTTACAATGTGACAGCCTGGATGGGTAGCTGCACAATCATATGTGAGCAGAGTGAACAGGAGGGGGCTCAGCACACATCCCTGAGGAGAGCCAGTGCTGAGGGTTATGGTGGAGGAGGAGAAGTTGTGGATCCTCATTGACTGTGGTCTGTTGGTTAAGAAGTCCAGAACCCAGTTGCAGATGGAGGAACTTAGTCCTAGTGTGAATAGTTTGTCCATCAGGGTTTGGGGAATCATGGTGTTGAAGGCAGACGTGAAGTCCACAAAGAACATACGGACGTAGGAGTCCTTCTTCTCCAGGTGGGTGAGAGCAGTGTGGACCACAGAGGAGATGGCGTCCTCTGTTAATCAATTCTTGCGGTATGTGTACTGGTGAGGGTCCTCGTTTATGTTGATGGTTGTTTTGATGTGAGTCATGATCAGTTTTTCAAAGCATTTAGCGACTATCGGGGTGAGGGCCACTGGCCTGTAGTCATTCAGACCAGTCACTGCAGAGCTTGTATGAACTGGAATGATGGTGGCAGTCTTCAGGCAAGTGGGAACAGTTGCCAGGGTAAGTGAGAAGTTAAAGATGTCGGCCAGCACCTCCCTGAGCTGATCGGCACAGTTTCTAAGCACCTTCCCCAAGATCTTGTCTGGACCAATTGCCTTGTAAGAATTAATCATCCTGAAGGTGTTCCTTACTTCTGCTGAGGACATGCAGAGGAACTCCTCTTCCCGTGGTGAGGTGAGTCTGCTGGGTGGTCTGTCTGGGCCTTCAAAGCAGGCATAGAACCCATTAAGAGCATCAGGCAGTGGTGGGTCTCTATAGACAAAGGTATTGTGCACCTCTGCTTTTGTAGTCTGTTATGCATTTAATGCCCTTCCCCAGCTCAGTGGGTCCTGTGAGGAGGAATGTCCCTGGATCTTCTGTGCGTATGTTGCTTTGGCCCTCTTTATACCAGCAGCCAGCTTTTTCCTTGTCCTCCCCAGTTTCTGTAAGTTTCCAGACATGAAGGCAGTTATCCCTGTCTTTCAACAGGGTACAAACCTCTGCGTTCAGCCATGGTTTATATTTTGGGTAGCTCTTCACAGTCCTGGTGGTGACATCATCAACACTTGCTAATGTATCCGAGGACATCAGATGTGTATTCCTCCAGACCCAGCTCTCCCTCATTCACAGCAGCCTCCCTGAAGACCTGCCAGTCTGTACATGCAACACAGTCCTGCAGTACAGAGTCACTGCCGCTGGGCCACACTGTGACTTTTTTTTGTGCTGGTCTGGAACATTTCAGTGGGAGTAGGTAGACAGGGGCCAGAAAGATGGAGCTGTGGTCAGAGAAGCTGAGGTGGGGGCGGGGAACAGCTTTGTTTGCACCTCGTAAGTTGGTGTAAACACAGTCTAATTTTAACAATTCATTTAAGGAAATGAGGTCAGTTTGTCCTCTAGTAGCCTAAGTCTATAGCAGCATAACAAGCCAACCCTAACTATAGGATTTATCAAAAGGAAAGTCTTAAACTGGACAATGTGTCAGCCTCATGGACAGAAACTGGAAGTTGGTTCCACAAGAGAGGAGCCTGAGAACTGAAAGATCTTCCTCCCATTCTGCTGCTGGAAACTCTAGGAACCACAAGTAAACCTGCAGTCTGAGAGTGAAGTGCTCTGTTAGGAAAATATGGAACAATATGATCTGTAATATAAGATGGAGCTAGGTTGTTGAGAGCTTTGTAGGTTAGAAGTAAGATTTTGAATTCTATTCTGGATATGACAGGGAGCCAATGAAGAGAAGCTAAAACTGGAGAGAGATGATCTCTCCCAGTAACTCCAGTTAAGACTCTGGCAGCAGCATTTTGGATCAACTGAAGACGTTTTAAAGAAGTATTTGGACACCCAGATAATAAACCATTGCAATAGTCCAGTCTAGACGTGACAAATGCATGGACCAGTTTTTCTGCATCATCTTTAGATCAGATGTTTCTAATGTTAGTGATATTACGCAGGTGGAAGAAGGAGGTTCTAGTAACGTTTTTAATGTGGGGGATAAAAGACGTGTCCTGATCAAAAATAACACCAAGATTTTTAACATTAGAGCTGGAGGACAGATTAATGCATCTAAGGAGGGAGAAAGACTGAAACGTTCATTCCTAAGGTGCTCAGGTCCAAAAACCAAAACCTCAGTCTTGTCTGTTCAACAGGAGAAAATTAAGGGTCATCCAGGTTTTTATGTCTTTAAGACATGCTTGTAGTCTAAGTAGCTGATTGGATTCATTGGCTTTAATGGACAAATATAACTGTGTATCATCAGCATAACAATGAACATTTATCCCATGCTGTTTAATAACTTCACCTAATGGAAGCATATAACAACTTTTATTTATAATGCATTTTACAATCACAGTTAATCTCAAAGTGCATATATAAAGTAAAGAGTATTTGTCCAAGCACTGAACCTTGAGGAACTCCATGACTAACTTTGGTGTATGATTAAGATTTATTATTTACATTTACAAACTGGAATCTATCAGATAGATATGATTTAAACCATTTTAGAGCCGTTCCTGTAATCCCAGCATCATATTCAAGCCTCTGTAGTAAAATATTGTGATCAACTGTATCAAATGCAGCACTGAGGTCTAACAGGACCAGTAGAGACACAAGTCCATTGTCTGAGGCCATGAGAATATCATTAGTGACTTTCACCAGTGCAGATTCAGTGCTGTGGTGAACTCTGAACCCTGACTGAAACTGAAGTTTTATCATGTTTATAATCTGACCAGGTTTGTACTTTGACCATGTTAGTTTTGTCAATGAACTTTTAATCTGCTGTTTCCGTCTCGCTCCTGTGGCTCACATCGCTACCTGGTGGTCAGATTTAATTTTAAAACGTTCCTTTTTGAAGCAGAAAGTTGTTTTGGGCCCAGATTAAAGATGAATCAGGTTCTGGTTCTGATGTATTTGTTGTTTTCTGTCTGCAGACGATCAGCACCAAAGACTTCAGAGGAACCAGGACGGTCTCAGACTTTGTGGGCGCCAGGTTCCAGAACCACAACCAGCCTCCGGACAACTGCCACCTGGACTCCCATGGGATGATGAACCCGTGACCTGAAGGTTCTGGTTCTGACTCAAATCAGAATGAACCCATGACTCGAAGGGTTCTGTTTTGACTCGGACCTGAACAAGCTGCTAGATTGTTTCCGTCATTAAAATAAAAGTTTTTCTTTTCTTCCTGATCTGGTTTTTGTCGTTTCATCTGAAGCTTCGGTCTCAAAGTCCAGTTCTGATCCGTCATTGCAGGGAGGTTCTGATCCGAGTACAGGAGTTTCATTGTTCTGCAGGTTCTGGCTGAAGGCCCACAGAAGGGGGGAGACAGTCGGTGTCTCTCTGATGTCCTGCGTCCCTCTGTCCTCCTTTCTGCTCAGATGGTCAGAAGACAAACCAGGTCCTGGTCTGATGGTCCAACTGTTAAACTGCTTCAGCTGTTTGTTTAGAATTTAAACCAAAAAATATACGTTTTATTGTTTTTATTCAGATTAAACATAAGAACGTAAATCACATTAAATCTATGAAGAAGATTTACACAAACAAACATTTAGTCAGAACTCATAAGGTCGATAAAAACATTTAAAATGAAATAAAAAACATCTAAAATAAAATAAAATACCATCAGGAAGGAGCTTGTTGTTGCACGTTTAATATTTTACATAAATTTAAATAAAGAATAAAGATATAAATAAAAGTTGCTCACTTTTGTTTTGACTTGTTTCCTGACTGAGTGAGAAACCTGCGATTTAAATAAAGAACATCTGTCCATCAGTTCTGCAGGTTCTGTTGGGTCTTGATACCAACACCACCTTGTGATGCATTCACTGACCCTCAGAAACAGGAACTCTTTGCCTCAGAGGGAAACGAGCTCGTCGTCTCCAACAGAACCCGTTTCAACCCAATAAAAATCTGACTTGTTATTTTTCTTTTCTAAGTTGAAACTTTAAATTTAATAAACATTAAATAAAACTCTAAATAAAACTAAATTAAACTGAATAAAACTAAATTAAACTGAATAAAACTAAATAAAACTCTAAATAAAACTAAATAAAACTCTAAATAAAAGTAAATAAAACTCTAAATAAAACTAAATAAAACTCTAAATAAAAGTAAATAAAACTCTAAATAAAAGTAAATAAAACTCTAAATAAAATTCTAAATAAAGACTTTTTGATTTAACGTCCTCGATCCAGACTCCTGAAACCAGCACCTGGACCCTCTGAGGCCTCGTGAAACTTGCTCAGATCCTGTTTTCCTTTCTGTGTGGAATCCCCCCCCCCCCACACACACACACACACACACTCACACACTCACACACACTCGGTCTTCTTCTTCCCTTTTCTGGCCTCGTGGTCCAGGACCAGATCTGGATCTGAACCTTCCTGCAGCTGAAAGTGAAACTTGATGCCTTCTTCAATCTTTGAAGCTGAAATGGAAAAAACTCCCCCCTGGTCCAGTTGCAGTTCTTCAGTTCTGACCCGGTCCTCAGCCCATGGTCTTCAGGGTCTGGTAGCTCCTGGTCCTCAGCTCATGGTATTCAGGGTCTTGTAGCTCCTGGTCTGCTGGGATCGCAGCAGAGGACTCTGAGAGTCCACATCCCAAGACAAGGCGGTCAGACCAGTTCGACGCAGGTGGACCCGGGTCCATCCGTAGACCAGACAGTTGAAGAAGCCCTGAGAGGCCGAGGTGAGAGCCTGAGGACAGAGCAGACAGACCCTGAGACCACATCCTGGTTCTGAAGGTTTAAAGGGACATTTCAACTCTTTACTCCCAGGACAGAAGACATTTTGTTCCGTTTCCTTGAAAACATTTTCTTGGACATCTTTCATCAGAGCGTGCTCAGATGTTTGTCAGCGCAGACCGACCTGAGTGATGTAAAGGACGACCCCCGCTCTCCCGTGACCCGCTGAGGGAGTCGCCATCCGCAGGAACGCCAGCGCCACCGCTACGAACATACAAACAAACAAAAACAAGCGGAGACGTTAACTCTGCAGCTGATCTGAGCAGCCAAACATCTGGAACCAACACACACCTGGACCCCAGCAGAGCACGAAGATCAGCGGGTACAGAACCATCCGCCGGTCCAACAGGTGGAACAAGGCCCGCTGCTCGTTGCCTAGGTAACCGCTGGATGTCACAACCCGCCTGTAGATCCTCCGAGCTTTCACCACGAGCACCTGGAGCGGGAAGAGTTCAGGTCATAAAAATCTGGAAAGAGACGAGCGACAGTCCGGTTCCGTTTTAAAGTCACATTCCGTATCTTTTCAAGGAGCTCACTGTGATGCTGAGGAGGGTGAGGAGGAAGGTGCTGAGGAAGACCAGGATCTGGTAGTTGTGCAGCAGCCGACAGGTGGTGCTCAGCTCCTGGGCTGAGGTCAGGTACAGCGCTCCGGTGTGCATCAGCAGACACCTGGTGTCAGTACGGAGCGCCGTGAGGGACAAAACTAAAGATTATTATAATTCACATCTGGCGTTTTCTGTGGCTCTGTGAGCGAAGACGCCATCAGTTCATCGAGCATCTTTAACTCGTCAGCTCAGGTGTGTCCTCACCTGTAGGGCATGCTCAGGTTGGCCTGACAGTGACTCATGTTTCCTGCGATGAATACAGGTGTCATCAGCAGCGCCGGAACCAGACTGAAACACAAAGATGACATCATCATCACCTGCCTGTGCTGATCATAGCACACCTGTACAGACAGGTGACAACCTGTCCAGGTGTGCTCAGATTCTGCCGTCTTCAGTTTGTACTTACAATGAAAGCAGAGAAATTATTTTAGCCGTCGTGCTCACTCTGTTAGAAAACTGGGGCAAAAAAAACTAATTAACAAAAATATATTGATTTACAGAAATACATGATGATTTTCATAAACTCTGGTCCAGCTCCTCCGGGGGAATCCCGAGGCGTTCCCAGACCAGCTGAGAAACATGTCCCTCCTGCGTGTCCTGGGTCTTCCTCTGGGTCTCCTCCCCGTGGGACGTGTCTGGAACACCTCACCAGGGAGGCGTCCAGGAGGCATCCTAACCAGATGCCCGAGCCACCTCAACTGGCTCCTCTCGACGTGGAGAAGCAGCGGCTCTACTCTGAGTCCCTCCTGGATGATCGAGCTTCTCACCCTGTCTCTAAGGGAGAGCCCAGACACCCTGCGGAGAAAACTCATTTCGGCCGCTTGTATCTGAGATCTCGTTCCTTCGGTCACAACCCAAAGCTCGTGACCATAGATGAGGGTAGGAACGTAGATCGATCGGTAAATTGAGAGCTTCACTTTTTGACTCAGCTCTCTCTTCACCACGACAGACCAGTACAGCATCCGCTTCACTGCAGACGCTGCACATATCCGCCTATCGATCTCCTGCTCCATTTTCCCTCATTTGTGAACAAGACCCTGAGATACTTGAACTCCTCCACTTGGAGCAGGACCTCCTCCCTGACCTGGAGAGGGCACTCTACCCTTTTCCAGCTCAAGACCATGGCCTCGGATTTGGAGGAACTGATCCTCATCCCGGCCGCTCCAGTGAGAGCTGATTAAACGAGATAAAAAATGTAAATCAGAGAACTTTAGAAGCTGCTTGTTGAACAGTTAGCCTCCGTTTCCTGACGCTATGCTAGGCTAAGCTAAACTACGCTTAGCTTATTCCAAAAGTATTTTTATTAAACTTTTCCTCCAGTTCAGTTTCTGTTTGACAAAAAAGTAAAACATGATCTAAAACATGTCGATCGGAGCTGAAAGGAGCTAGCTGTCTCTTTTGCAGGCTAAAAGTTTCCCTCTGGTTTCAGACATTATGCTAAGCTAAGATAAGCTAAGTTCAAATGGGCCGTCACACATCCATGGCCCTCAGCCTCAACATGGGAGACCCCAGGGCTGTGTGCTGAGCCCCCTGCGCTATGCTCTCTACACACGACTGCACCCCTGCTCACCACAGCAACAACATAGTTAAACTTGCAGACGACACCACAGTGGTGGGGATCATCAGTGGGGGGGGGGGGAGGTGAGTCCACCTACAGGGACAAGGTGGAACAACTGACTGCTTGGTGCAGGGGGAACAATCTGCTCCTCAACACCTCAAAGACTAAGGAGCTGATCATCAACTTCAGCAAAAAGAAAATGGCGGTCCGACCCCTGATTACAAGCAGAGACGGTGTGGAGAGAGTGGCTACCTCCGTCTCCTGGGAGTCCGTCTTGAGGGAACCTGACCTGGAGCGTGAACACCTCTGAGCTGCTGAAAAAGGCCCAGCAGAGACTGGACTTCCTGAGTGCGCCAAGGAGGAACATCGCCCAGAGACTGCTGGTGTCTTTCTACCAATACTCCACAGAGAGCATCTTAACACACTGCATCACTGGGTGGTGTCTTAGCTGCACAGTGGCTCAGAGGACAACACTCCAGAGAGTTATTAACACATCCCAGAAGATCGTTGGCTGCCCTCTTCTCTCACTGGAAGATCTACACAGTTCCTGCTGCACAGGAAAAGCCCACAACCTGTTAAAGGACTCGCGTCACCCTGGACATGATCTGTTTGAACCATCAGGGAAAAGTTCAGACAAAAAACAGAACCTGTTTGGGATCCAACGGTTAAAAGATTTATTTTTGTAAAGTCTGTCGGTTCTTTGCCTCCATGGAGGTACCTGGACAGAATATCCCATGAAGCAGCTGTTGTACTTCTCGCTTGTCCTGGTGTACAGGTTCCACACGTAGTTCAGCGTGTAGAAGAAGGATGCCATGTAGAGAATCTGAAACAGAGGTTCTGAATGAGTACAGAAACTTTCACTCATTTCACCGAGGACCAACTGGGTCGTTTGGTTCTGAACTTTAGGACCTTCAGTTAAAGTGGCAGCTGAAACAGACACAATGGATGTGGGTCAGGAATGTTTCCTCTTTACACCCAGTCTGGGTTCTGTCCCGGTTCTGCTGCACTAGTTTCAGCCCACTAATGAGCCACTCCAGAACTGGGTTTGAAACAGACGTTTATGAACCTGACTAGACTTTGGTTCTGTGAAACCAGAACAAGCAGAAACGCTCCCAAAGCTCCAGAGAACTCAAGCCACAAACTTCCTGTCGTGGTTCTGCTGGAGGGCCTTGATGGACTCCATCTTTGACTTCATGATGTCATAAATAAAAAAAATCGAAAGGCCCGCGGGTTTCACATCCGAGCCTAAAGACAGAACACACGACCTGGAAAGAGGAACTGAGGTTCTGACGGTGGGACCATCAGAAACCACGACTCACTTTGTGAGCATCAAGAAGTGTTTAATGTTTCCACCTGGACAGAGAACGAGTGAAGAAACCAGTAAAACTCAAATTAACCAGTAACTCCTGAAACTGTCTGATTTGAACGTTGCACTAAAGTCCGTCGCTCTTTGGTGACTGGATTATTTTTAATTTGAGGTTTTTTTGGAGGAAGTTGAAACTTTCCAGCTGTAAACGTTCTGGTCTGAGGAGGAAGCAGGACCTGGTCTAGATCCAGGTTCACAGTTGAAGGAAAACCCAAAAACTTTCCCCTGAAACCAGAACCAGAGTTCAGCAGTCTGTGAGGGTTCTGGACTGGGCTGAGGTCTGTCTGAACACTAACACTTGTGTTGTTGTGTGTTGTGTGTGTTACCTGCTCCACAGTGTGCAGGTTGTAGCAGTGTGTGTTCAGGTTGTAGCAGGGCTGAAAGAAGAAGACAGCGCCGATCACCCAGCAGGAGGCGAGCAGGAGGTCTGCCCCGCTGAGGAGGAGCAGAGGCTGCAGCTGCAACACAACAACAACAACATGACACAACAACAACCACAACAACATGACACAACAACAACATGACACAAAAACAACAATATGAGACAAAAACAAAAACATGGCACAACAACAATATGACACAACAACATGATACATCAACAACATGAGACAACAACCTGAGACAACAACAATATGATAAAACAGCAACATGGGACGATAGTAACAACAACATGATACACTAACATGAGACAATAACACATGAGACACCATGAGACAAAAACACAACATGAGACAAAAACGTAAGACAACACAACATGAAACAACAACATGAGACAAAAACAACATGACACAACAACAACAACATGAGACGACAACAATATGAGACAACAACAACATGAGACAACAACCTGAGACAACATGATAAAACAACCACAACATGAGACAATAGCAACAACAATATGATACACTAACATGAGACAACAACACATGAGACATCATGAGACAAAACACAACATGAGACAAAAACATAAGACAACACAATATGAAGCAACAATATGAGAACAACAACATGAGACAAAAACATGACACAACAACAACATGAGACAACAACAACATGAGACAACAACACAACATGAGACAACAACCTGAGACAACATGATAAAACCACCACAACATGAGACAATAGCAACAACAACATGAGACCAAAACAACATGATACGACAACAACATGAGAACAACAACAACAACATGAGACAACAACACAACATGAGACAACAACCTGAGACAACAAAAACATGATAAAACAACAACAACATGAGACAATAGCAACAACAACATGATACACTAACATGAGACAACACATGAGACACTATGAGACAAAAACACAACATGAGGCAACAACATGAGACAAAAACATTAGACAACACAACATGAAACAACAACATGACACAAAAACAACACATGAGACACCATGAGACAAAAACACAACACGAGACAAAAACATAAGACAAGACAACATGAAACAACAACATGAGAACAACAACATGAGACAAATATGAGACAACAACAACAACATGAGACAACAACAACATGATACACTAACATGAGACAACAACACATGAGACACTATGAGACAATAACACAACATGAGACAAAAACATGAGACAAAAACACAACATGAGACAACATGAGACAAAAACAACATGAAACAACAACAACATGACACAAAAACATCATGAGACAACAACATGACACAAAAACAACATTATGACACAACAACAACAACATGAGACAGCTACATCATCTTCTATTGCTTCTTTGTAGTTGTGTCACAGAGGCAACAGGACCAGAAGAGAAACCCAGACCTCCCTCTCCCCAGAGCCACTTCCCAGCTCGTTCTGGGGACCTTGAGGCATTTCCTGACCAGAGATGATCCACAATCCCTCCAGCAAATTATGGGTCTTCCCTGTGGCCTCCTACTATTGGGACATGTCCAGAAAACCTCTAAAGGGAGACGTCCAGATCAGATGAACCACCTCAACTATTGCAACTCACTCCTGTTTGGTATCAGTCAGACCTCCATAGCTAGACTCCAACTGGTCCAAAATGCAGCAGCCCGGTTTTTGACCAGCACAAGCAAAAGAGAGCACATTACACCTGTTTTGGCCTCCCTACACTGGCTTCCGGTTCACCTTCGAATCAAATTCAAAATACTCTTGTATGTCTATAAATCACTAAACAGCTCTGCCCCCTCCTATCTTACTGATCTGCTCCAGCCGTATGTCCCACCACGTTCTCTCAGATCAGCAGACCAGTTGCTCCTCACAGTCCCAGGAACCCGTCTCAAGCGCAGAGGTGACAGGGCCTTCTCTGTAGCAGGACCAAGACTTTGGAATGAGTTACCTCTGCTGGTTAGACAGGCCCCCTCCCTCACAGTTTTTAAATCTCGCTTAAAAACACACTTCTATTCCCTGGCTTTCTGCACTGTGTGATCTGTGCTGAGTCTGTGTGCATCACACTGTGTTGGTCATGTTGCAGTTGTTGTTGTTATCCATTATTGTTTTTGTTGGTTTCTACTTTTTGGTGTCCTGTTATGTAATCTGTTGCTGTGTGCTTGTTTTGTTTGTCCCTGTACAGCACTTTGGTGTGCTTTGTCACTGTTTAAAGTGCTTTATAAATAAATTGGTATGGTATGGTATGGTATGGTAACTGACTCCCTTTGAGGTGGAGGAGCAGCAGCTCTACTCAGAGCTCTCTCTGGAGGATGGAGCTCCTCACCCTGCTTCTAAAGCTGAGCCCAGCCACCCTACGAAGGAAGCCCATTTCATCCACTTGTATCCGGGATCTTGTTCTTTTGGTCCTGATCCAAACCTCATGACCATAGGTGAGGGCTGAAACATAGACAGACCAGTAAATCCAGAGCTTTGCCTTTCGACTCAGCTTTTCCTTCAGCATGATTGACCAAACCAACATCCTCATTACTGAGGTTGAGGCCCTAATCCATCAGTCCATCTCTATCCTACCATCAATTGTGAACAAGATGCCCAGGTACTGAAACTCCACCTGAGGAAAAGTTCCATCTGCCTGATCCCCCGATCCAGAGGGGGCATTCCAAGTATTTCTGGTCCAGAACCATGGCCTCAGATTTAGAATAATTGACTCTTATTCCAGCCACTTCACACTCAGCTGCGAACCACCCTAGTGCACGACGAAGGTCATGGCCTGAAGATGATAACATAAAACCACATCAACTGCAAAAAGAAGATGAGACTCTGAGGTTCCCAAACCAGAACCGCTCCACTTGATGACTGCACTTTGAGATCATGTCCATGAACACCATGAACAAGATCGGAGACATGGGACAGCCTCGGCAGAGTCCAGCCCGTACTGAGAACAAGCTTGACTTTGTGTCATGAATGCAGACACAGCTCTTGCTTTGGTTCTACAGGGACCAGATAGCCCTTAAAAGTCTGTACTTGTCTGTACTTTATATATTCTGTCTGGAACAGGTCCCTCTTGTAAATAAGTCCTCGTGGCTCAATGAGACTTTTACTGTATAAATAAAGGTTGGAAAAAAAAAAAGCAACCCAGGCAATCCATACTCCCATACCACCCCCATCCCACTCTTCACAGAATGCCTCAAGGAACACAGCAAAAAGCCTCTTCCAGATCCACAAAACACATGTTTTGGAGAGGCAACATCCTATGACCACCTTAGCAACTCTCATCTTGAACAAGCATGAAGGCGACAGTGGAAAGAAAAAACTCCCTCATGAGGAAGAAACCTTTAGCAGAACCAGGATCAGGACTAGAGGACCATCTGCTTTGACCGGCTGGGTTTGGTAAGAATAGATACACAATGGCAGGTCAAGACTCACATGTTAAGATAGAAATAATATCAAATGAAAACTATTCAGTTTTAACAATTCATTTAAGGAAATGAGGTCAGTTTGTCCTCTAGGAGTCTAAGTCTATAGCAGCATAACAAGCCAACCCTAACTATAGGATTTATCAAAAAGGAAAGTCTTAAACTGGACAATGTGTCAGCCTCATGGACAGAAACTGGAAGTTGGTTCCACAAGAGAGGAGCCTGAGAACTGGAAGATCTTCCTCCCATTCTGCTGCTGGAAACTTTAGGAGCCACAAGTAAACCTGCAGTCTGAGAGTGAAGTGCTCTGTTAGGAAAATAAACATTGAAGTACACCGAAGAAACCTGTCAACCACGACAGCCCCACAACATTCAAAGCCTTCAACATCTCGGTGAAAATCTTGTCCACCCCTAGCACCCTGCCACCGAGGACCTTTTTGACTCCTTCAGTGACCTCTGCCATGGTAATGAACTTGTACTGTCTCGAGTCCTCATACCCTGCCTCCTCAAAGGTGGACATGATGTTTGGATTAAGGAGATCCTAGAAGAGCACCTTCCACCGCTCAAGAATATGCTCAGTTCGGGTCAGCAGTTCCCCATCCAAACCAAGCACAGCCTGGGAACTGGGTCCACTTTTCTTTTCTGAGTCACTGAACAGTTTGCCAGAACTTCTTCTAGGCCGACCGAAAGACCTTATGACCTCCTCGAATTCCTCCCATGTCCAAGTTTTTGCATCTGCGTCCATTGAAGCCACTGTCTTTCTGGCAACCCTGTATCTGTCAGCTGATTCAGGAGTCCTCCAGGACAACCAAGTCCTAAAGGAACGTCACAACAACAATATGAGACACAACAATATAACAACATGAGACAACATGAGACAAAAACATGAGACATCTATCTTTTGTCTCCTTACTAGTTGGACTCTTGTCCTGACTCAAGTCCTGACTGGTTGGACAAGTGTCATGACTCATGTACGGACTGGTTAAACTCATGTCCTAACTCGTCTTCTGACTTGTGTCCTGACTTGTTGGACTAGTGTCCTGACTCATGTTCTGACTCGTCTCCTGTCTGCCTGGACTCATGTCTTCACTTGTGTCTTGACTCGTGTTCTGACTTGTCTCCTGATTGGTTGGACTTGTGTCCTGACAGTTTCCTAGACTTTGAACTGATCCTGGTTCAGTTTCAGTCATACTAAGTCTGTCTGTCCTCTGATCTGTTAAAGGGGTTCTGGACCAGCAGGTCTCCAGATGTTCTGGACCTCTCTCTGAGGTCTCCTCTGGACTGCTCGGTTAATCTCAGTTTCTTGAGTCTGTTAGTTTGGACACAGAATGGATGACATCATCAGACGGGGTGTGGGGGACTCACCTCGGGTCTTTGGCTGAGTCTCTGTGTGACCAGGCAGACGATGATGGAGCTGGAGCCCAGAATGCTGGAAAACAATCAGAACTGAAGCTCAGAGGCCTCCAGGTCGAGAGGGAAACCAGCCTCGGCCCGAGGATTTCAGGAGACTGAGGACATGGATTTTGAGGATGAAGCAAGGACTGACCTGAGCAGAGCCATGATGAGCTGGATCCAGCTGACCGCCTTGTAGACCTGCAGACAACCACCGAGGGTTTACAAACCCAACGTGTCTAAAAAATCCTCTTCAGTTTTTAACATTTCTAACAGACAGGAAGTAAAGAAAGCACACGGCTCAGTGGTTAGCACTGTTGCCTCACAGCAAGAAGGTCCTGGGTTCAATCCCCGCAAAGACCAGGGGTCTTTCTGTGTGGAGTTTGCGTGTTCTTCTCGTGTTTGCATGGATTTTCTCCGGGTACTCCGGTTTCCTCCCACAGATCAAAAACATGCATGTTAGACTGACTTCAGGCCCAGGACCCCCTTCAAAAGAGATCTGTGATCTCAGTGGGATTTGCCTGGTTAAATAAAGGTGACTAAATTAAATAAAGGTTAATAAATTAAATAAAGGTTAATAAATTAAATAAAGGTTACTAAATTAAATAAAGGTTACTAAATTAAATAAAGGTTACTAAATTAAATAAAGGATAATAAATTAAATAAAGGATAATAAATTAAATAAAGGTTAATAAATTAAATCAAGGTTAATAAATTAAATCAAGGTTAATAAATTAAATAAAGGTTAATAAATTAAATAAAGGATAATAAATT